CTTTTCCAACCCAAATGATTCTGTGAGTCCATAACTCCCAGGAAAACAAACAGAGAAAGGGCTGGGTAAGAATTCTGTGGTGCTGACATCAATATCTAGAACCGAGGGCTTAGAACAAAACAAAAAATGAACATTACTCTCCCCCAACTCCCCCCAAAAAATACCCTCTTTAGGAAAGAGCTCCTCTGTATGCAAAAACATGGAAAAGACCAAATGAGCTTCTTCTAAGGGAGGCCTATTAGAACTATTTTGCTTCCTTGATCTTTGCTCTGTGCTTATCTGCTGGGACACACAGGTTCACTTGTTTTCAGCTTTCACACCAAGATATGAGATCTGCCAGTAAATGGATGTGACACCAGCCCACTGAAGTTGAAGCAATGGACAGTTTTGCAGTTTCCTCTGCCTAAATTTGTCCTTATTTCCTGAGATCACTCAGTGGAGCAGGTCAGTGCCTCACTCCAGCAGAGCGTTTTCGACTCATTCCTGCCAGTCCAAGCTATTCCCACAACAGCTCAGTGATGAGACAGCTCAAAACAAAAGAAGACAGGTTTTTTTTCCCCCAGCCAACATACTGGGGAACTCACCACTGCAAGATACCATAATTACAGAGAGTATCAGGATGCTGAACAGGGATTGGAAAAATTCCCAGAGGATTCAGCAGCAGATAAAAGCCCAATGGTCAAGATGCAAATACCAACTCCAAGTCTTCTCATCAGTCATTTCTGGAGGCTTTCCTATGCTTCTCCCCTAAGGACCCATATTTTCTGTAAAGTAATGCTCTGCTAAGTTCACCATTTATAGAAATGGTGCTCCCTGTCCACGTGCACCTCACCTGGGATGGATCCCAGCTTTGGCAAACAGCTCCAAAATAGGTCTTGAGAAATAAAAATAACAAGTGCAGCCACAGAGGAGTGACACTCTGGTGATGTTAGCCAAGAGATAATCCTCTTCCCCCCTGAGATTTCCTCTGCTAGTTAGAAACTGAGGAAACATCAGCACTGTCCTAAGGTGCTCAGGCAGGGACAGCAGTAGGAGGCTGCTCCAGCTCAAGCAGTGCTTGATGGGACACTCAGGGGTGGAAAACAGTGGACAGCTTTATTCCTTGTAATGGAAAAGCGTACAAATAAACCTCACTTTAATCCTCATTTCAAAAATAAACAACTGGAGGAAGAAACAAACCACACCTTAATGACCACAGGGAAGACTGGCAGTTCCAAAGTCGGGAATTACATATAAAGCCAGGATATCAAAGATAATATTTTTTTGGCTTACTGACACAAATCTATTTTCATTTTTAACTACACCCTACACAGAAGGATCTTAGAGGGGAGATCTGTCCCAAGGACTTTGATTCAAATCATACCTTACTCCACACTAACTACACTCCAGACTCCTCAGGATCAGTAACAACACAATAGGAATTTAAGGCTCCTTAAAGTCAATATTTTTGCATTAAAGCCCTTGTGAACAGGAACTCCCAAACTATCCAACTGTGCAGTAACTTTCTTTAAAGGATATCTTGCTATTCTTACAAAGTTCTCCCAAAATTTTTATTCAGACAGCCCTGATGAAAACAAACTTTGGAAAAATGAGTGTTCCCTCAGCTGTCTCCCTGTTCCTCGTTCCCTCCCAATCAGTGCAACCACATCCATTCAAGACATTCCTGAAATCAGAATGGCACAAAACACATGCCAGGAGAAAAAATAAATAAATAAATCAAGGAACAAACAAAATTGAAATTTCACATCTTCAGCCAAGTGAAGGTTGGACTTGATGATCTGTGATGATCCTGTGATCTTTCTGTGTGATCCAAGGAAACAGGGGAGAAACATGAAGGGGAAAGGAAATGCAGGGAGTCTTTCCAGGCACTACAACGACACAAGTCTGTACCTTGAACACTGTGCTGGGCTCCTCATTGAGGTTCACTCGGGTCACCACACGTCCTGAGTTTTCCTCCACGTCAAAAATGCTGGCACTGTAAGGGAATTGGACAACATCCACTTTGTACCGGACCCGACTCGCTGGTGTGCCCTGGAAGGCAAAAACAAGGCAAACTGCAGCATTCCTGTGTTTTGATACATCTCATGAAATCACTCAAGGGTTAAAATGCAACGTTTTTAAGACCACCACTAATAAAACTTCTGTTTATCTTCCTCATAACTTACTGAGCGATCCTCTGTCTCCCCCCCCAAAAGACCTTCAATTTTCCAGCAAGAAAAATAACTGGAGGTTCAGAGAGAAAAGACCTGAACCCTCCACCCACTTAAACACAGAAACAGTGTCTGTTTTATAACAACTGAAATTGTTAAACAGAAGATGGGTAGAGCTTAAGGTTGCCTAAAATACCTTTCACAAATGATTTAACATGTTACAAAACTCATTGGAAGTTCACGAAACTTAACAGTAATAACAGAAATTGCAGTTTTGCAAACGAATTTTAAGTAGCCCTGTAACGAACCCTCCTCACACTTCAGACCCTGTTTCAGTGACAAGGAACAAGCAGAGGCAGCCCATGAGTGTGTCACAAACTGTCTGAAACACCAAATCCAAACGGGAAT